GTTCCACGACTGAGCCATGGGCTCCAGTTTTGTCATTTGCCTCAGTGGTAATCGAGGCAGTTTGGATACTGTATAACCCTCCCCAAGGCAGCTTGTTACTTTTCTTGGTCTACAGCACTGTTAAACAAGCTTTTTTACCTCTCAACGCACAAAGAGGAGGACTTTTTTTACCACGACTCTCCTATTACGATGTCAGTCTCCCCTCCGCCAGGCGACCCCATTGTCTTTGAACTGTCAGCGACCGGGGCGACTGCGGTCGCGCACGCACTATCCGAGAGTTCGACCATCGACCGTATGCCCCACAGCAGGTGGTGGGAGCAGGGACAGTGACTTGCGCGGGGGTTTATAGTGCCAGCAGACTTGCGCTGCATCTGCCACACCCTCTCCTCCTCCCCCACCTGAGCCCGGTGTCAAGACAGAGTCAAGAAGACCGGGGGTGAGGGAGGCCGCAGGTGGATGACTTGGACGGATCTGCACTTTGGAGCTCCACCCCGCACCCCCTGGTCCACACAAGAAATGACCAAGATTTTGACCGCCAAAACAATGGAGGACGTGACAGTGGCCCCAGTTGTGCGACGACTGACGACAACAGAGTCTGCCAGCGCACCCCCTAGATGTTGGTATTTGTTATTGCGCACAGATAACGCCTGCCAGAATCCGATGTGGCCCCCGTGTTGGTCTAGCGCATCTAACGCGTGGCCCGTTTGGGGGGCACACGCACTATCCAGCTAACCAATACCAGGCATCCGCATGGAGTCTAGCAGTCGTCGCTGTCGTATACACCCCCTCGGTTTGTTTTGCGGCGTCGTGCAGTTTGCTCAATGCCGGTTTCCTCCCCAGTTGCTACCTTTACCGCTGGCTGGGCTTGCTGCCTTCTTGCTGACTTTTCTCGTCAAATGCTCTTTGGACATCATTTAGTCGGCGTAATCGCCAGATGATTTAGATTTATAGATCTTTTGGCAGATTTTGAATAATTCATATTGACCCAACTGTGAAAAACTCGGTGCCTCGGTGGGATTCGAACTCACGCAGTAAGGGGAAGGCTCTAGTACAACCAACGCTCTAACCACCTGAGCTACGAGGCCCCGCCGGTAGTCATCTGGTGGATTCTAGGTGAATTACGTAGGAAATCCTGCTTGGGCAGTCAACTTAATGTATCAGATTTGGTGGATTCCAGACGTTGCAGTAGGTTGGGCGGGTAACTCGACCCAAATGTGCTTAAACTCGAGTCGTCAGTATGATTTAGATTTACGTGCTGTCCTGATGACTTGGCAAGCTAGTTTTGAATCGTCCTATTTGCGCCTTTTGGACTAATCAGATGTGAATGCCGTCTGCCTGATTGTCTTGGGCTGGATCGGGTTCCATATTATCCTGCTTTTATGCTAGTGATGCAATCAAATAGACAAATTTTCACCCAATCCCTTTTAATTAGAGAATAGCCCCAGTCGCCCCGTGATTTTCTGATTGGTACATCATCATGGCTTGTCTGTTAACCACGCATAGACATTGGTCAATGACTCAAGATCTGTCGGTCGCTTTATTCATCACCATGCGCTGTTGGAAGGTCTTATCTCAACTAGCTGAACAAAGTCCATTTAGCTGACAGATGCGAACGACAAAGCCGTCTTCGGGAGCGTAAATAGATGTGACTGGCTTGGTGCATGTCAGTCAGCGTGTTTGATTTCAACAGTCATGCAAGTCTTTTATGCCCTGTGGCCAGTGCTTTGGGTTGGTACCATCTTTCAAGTGGCCTTCTTAGACGGCTCGTTTTTTTTTGAAGTCTCATTATTTGTGAGCTCAGTTGGTGAGCAAAAGTATTAATACCTGGTTCTGCATTTTTATATGCATATTTTGTGACTCAGTTTACGGATAATTCAGTACTCGGAGGGGCTGCATTTTACGAAACCCATTGGTCCATTAAATAAACAACAGTAAGCTGACAGTGTGGTTTGGTTCGTAAGTCTATCCAGAACTGGCCATTTGAACTAGGCATCCTACCAGGCTAGACTGGGGCAGTACCGCTTCGGTACCACGAACATTCTTGCCTAGATAAAGGCTGGAATAATGGGCAGTTTTTATTACGACCAACCAGCCAGTGTGAAACATCCACAGATGAAAGGTCTCTCGCTGCTGGACGGGCTCGAACTGCTGACGTCTAGACTTACTGGATCGCCTTGGCTAAGCTGTCCTAACCACACCCGACTATTGACGCAGTCAGTAAAGTTTGACATTAGACCGAACACCTGACGGTTTTCGCAAATTCTCCATCCCCCGCAGTCCATTTACGTGAAAAAGTGTGTTTTATGCATCAGAACTTGCATGCCCTAACACGTACAGTGAGTGACCGATCTCATGAAATTTTGGCTGAAATTCTTAAATACGTTTTCGATTATGAAGGATTACCTAGGTGAGGTTGTAATACTGATTATCTGGCGGCATAATGCTATAATATTTCGGACTCACGGGATGTCAGCTTTCGAATGGACTACTTTTCAATCTCCTGCAGAAACTGCACTCGGTAACAAACGGCTACTTAAGTAGCATGAGTCTTTCACATCGATTTTCGATGCTCTAGCGTTAAAAATATTTTACAAACACCACGAACAAAAATATTTTTTCTTTCAGTCATTTGATAGGGAATCACGTCGTCTTTATATTTTATACTCGAAGAAGGAGTATAATTAGGTTTTAAAAAGTTTTCTCATTCCCGAATACTTTGGGGCCTGATCAGTCGTTGCATTAGCGATTAATGATTTCAGTCTACAAGGTGCACGCATTCCGCGTAAAGAAAATCACGTATTCATCTATGCCTTTAAAAAAATGCCATACAGAGTCCATAAAATTCTGCAATGGATGCGGATGCTTGCCGATTTCTTCTATTTACCCATTTAAACTGCTGTCCTGCTTTTATTTATTTCGGACTTATTTACAACGTTCTTTCTGTGAACACCGTAAGACAGCTGTCCAAAATTCCACGCCTATTGCACCTGTGTTGTCTTCTGTTTTCCATGAGTCCGCGCTCACGCGATACTACCAAAAGAGCGGCAGCTAGTAGCATAGGTATGCCCACTTTGTTTTGAATGCAACATCTCATGAACTGACTCTAATATTCAATTTTGCTGCGACGAAGGAGGAGAATAGTGAGGCATCCAAGCCATCACCGGTGGTGAAAACAACAACAACAATAACCTAATGGGTAACACTTATGGGACATTATGACTAGTACGTGCACGATAGGACGATTGCGGTTAGAATGTCGCTATGCGGGGTCATTGAGTTCTTGTTTAGCGATTAAAGTCTAGACCACCCAACTGCGGGCACCGGTGGCCAAATACAGTGCACTGGCTCATCGTTAAACCCAAATAGTGTGGCTCTTGGTTCGCTATGTACTGCTACCTGAATGCGTCCTCCGGGGGAAACGAGGGGGTCCCCAGTAAGGCCATTGGATAGACAGTCCCGTGTTTCAGACGCAAATACGAGTGCGCTTTATGCTGTGTCCAGCCCGGTACCCAAACCTGAAGGTGGTCTAGGATACTGGGTTGATCCGACTGTTTGCCAGACCACCGATTGATTTTGTCCACCAGCCCGATTGTTTGCTTCTGAAGCCCGCAACCAACTTTGTTTGTGCACGAGTGATCACGTGACTGGCGGTCATGAGCTCTTCACAGTCACACGGTCGCAGATTCCACCGGTTCTAGTGCCTTGCAGTTAAAAGGCGCTAACGGGGCATTAATTTTATAATTACGGGCAATTTGAACGTGGCATCTTTTCTGGCGTTTTTTTCTGATCTTGTGTCTGGCACCGAGCGCTCATACGGGAATGTATGTTTTATGTAAAACTCGAGATAATATGCCTAAGCTTAAGTGAAGAAGAAGAGTCGAGCACCGGAACACTGTGTTTATTGTCCTGAGCTCTTAGATTTGTACAGGAGTCCATAGTCAGAGGTAGCAGCAACAGCAGAACAAGCGACAGTTATACGGCATGTAGGCCAATCATCGACCGACGGCGCAAGACTGGAGATGACTACGCAGGGCTCTGTACGCCGGCGCCAGAGACCGAGTTCTCATCCGAGGCCCAGGCTTCAATCAATCCTCGGTCTGTTTTGTTTTTCCGCGTGGGCGACTATTTTGGTGGCTGCGAAGTTAAACTCGTGACCCCTTTCGCAGGTATGAGCGGCCACTTGGGATAATGCGTGGCCTCTTCGCACAGCCAGCTTATGTTCGTGTATGCGTGATCCGAGCATGCGCCCAGTCTGTCCTGTGTAGTTACAAGGACACTTTTGACACGAAGTGCGACGCACTACTCCAGATCGTTCTTCAGGCTTTAACCGGTCTTTGATGTTCATGGTGGCTTTGGGGCGGTGTACAATCCCAACACCTAGCTCCGCAGCAATGCGCTCGGTCGCTCTGTACTCGACTCTTCTTCTTCACCTGGAACTCTGAATTTCGCCTTCATTAAAGCGCCTTAAGTAACTGGGAAATTTTTTACTCCTTGCCTGTCTGAAGAGGCTATCGTTCGTCCTGTTTGTTGCGTTGGAAACGGGCATTAGTGGCTTGAGCATTCAGGTAAATTTGACCGTCAGTTTGCTGTGAATCCATCGACTTGCAAATTCGATGACAGTGGGCTCCATGTTCCTTTCTTTTGACTTACACTGATAATCTCCTGTTTCGCTTAATTCTTCTTCAGTATTATCAGTAAGTTGCAGGTAACACGAACTGATATGATGAGGGCCTTTTGTGGTATAGTCGTCATAACTGGCGCTGGGCTTCCTCCCTGATGGAGGGAAGAGCCTTCATCACAAGTTTACCCTCACTTTTATTGTTGTCTATAACAGAGGTGTCTGATCTCCGGTATGCATGGAAAGTTCGACTTAATGACACCTAGTTATGGTTTGTTTCTAAACTTTCCAGCACTCCTGTTTTTGTTTTCTCTGAGAAATTCTTTAAACGCCTGATTTTGCACTTTCGAGCACTCGAATTCTGGATGGGATGGCAGTAAATATGGCAGCGCTGACCCAGGAGACATCTACTGCCTCGATTCTCGTAATTGAGGCCTTCTACGGCGGGTCCCATAAACAACTGGTGGATACCATTCGGGAGCTTCTCTCACAGACTGGTGAGTGCGGACTGGACACTGGTTGCACAGTTTCTCCCTATTTTTTTCTGCCATCTGTCATCTTCATCCCTAACTGTTTCATCAGACTGATTACAGAGCCACTGTTGCCATACTACGCCAGCGGATTCATCTGGAGGTGTGAAAGTGATTTTTTTGCAGAAGGGTGTGACGTCAGGACAACACGGCAGTACTTAATCGTTACTATCGCATCGGATAGAAGAAGCGTTTATTTGGGCGTTTTCAAGATCGCCCGGGGGCGTGTTGTGACCATTGTAGCCACCGACAACAATTACCAAGCTCTCCTGGTTCAGTATATTTGTTCCCGTGTCCTGCTACGCCATGCTATAGCGACGAAACAGAAACATACTTCACTGTTAGACTCCCCACTTCTACCATATCCCCATGCATCTAACCCGAATAGGTTATAATAGCCTCCTGGTTCTCACATAAAGTAGGTGGGCTAACTCATGAAATGTCAACCGAAATTCCGAAATGCGTTTTCGTTTCGAAAAGATTGATCAAGTAGGCTTGTAAGACTAGTCAGCCTGCTACATGATTCTATAATGTTTCAGTTATCCCTGGATGCCGGCTTTGGAATGAACTTCCGTCCGGCTGCATGCAAAGACTACAGTCTACAAAAATGACTACTTAAGTAACAGGCATTTTTCTCATTGATTTCCGATGACTTTAAAAGTTCAAATATAATCCATGGAAAACATGCATAGAAATATTCATTCTTTTGCTCATTCGGTAGACAGTTACGTCTTCCTCTAGTTTTACACTCGAAAGAAGAGTTTAATTCTGTTTTCAAAGACTTTTCCAATTCCCGAATAGTTTTTAAGCCGCCCTACCGTTACAGTCAGATTCAGGGTTTCCAACCTACAAGCCGTATATTTTCCGCTTACGGAAAACCGCACATTTCTCTACAGAATTAAGAGGAGACCACATGCGGTTCATAAAAATTCGCAGTGGATTTGAGCCATATCGTCAACTTTACGAGCCACATTGGTAAATGCAGATACATGACGATTTATGAACGGCCATTCCACAGTATTTAAAAGTCCCACAATTAGAAATTTTCTAAACCGAATATGTCATTTCTTCGAGTATAAACTTAGAAGAAGACGCAATTTTCTGCCGAATGAGCAAAAGAATGAATATTTTTATGCATGTTTTCCATGAAATATAATTGGACTATTAGGGGTATCCATGCTACTTAAGTAGTCGTTTTTTACAGTGTATAGTTTTTGCGTGTAGCCTGAAGGAAGTTCGTTCGAAAGCCGGCATCCTGAACTGACTGAAATATTATGGAATTATGTAGCAGGCTGACTAGTTTTACAAGCCTACTTAGTTAATCTTTTTGATGCGAAAGCGCATTTTGAGATTTCGGTTGGCGTTTCATCAGTTCGCCCACCTACTGTACCTGAACGCATTAGGCTATCCCCCCCCGCGACAACTGCTAATTGGCGGTTTTAAAAAATTCGCTGTCTTGCCGTAACTTACTTGTGTTACTGTAAGGCCTAAGAATGAATAATCGGAAACGTGCGTTTGCCGAACGTAACTTCTTCAATTATCAGACCAAATTGCAGACAGAAAACACTTCTGTCACACTAAGGTTTCGTGTTAGACGTACACGACTGGCATTGTCGAGCCTGACAGCGATCTATGATCCGACAGTGTTCTTGTCCACACAGTGTAATCACTCCGCAAGCGATAACGGGTTTGCACTGAAGGTCAGTCACAAGGCTGTCGGGTAATTCGCCCATTTGACGAATGTTACCGCTGTAGATCAGCCAGTTAAACCACGGAGAACAAAATGAGGCACATCAGCGGTTTTGATTAATCTCTGGCCTTTGGAGTTTCTAGATTTTGCCTACGTCAACTGGTCAGCCCCTTGAGATGGTTCTGGAAGTGCCGTCGTCGTGGAACCGAAAGTCTATCTAGTCTATTGTCGACTACGAACGCGAGGTACAAGGCATTGATCAGTCAGCAGATTAAATGAACGGAAGAGAACAAAATTATACTGCGATTTAGATGTGCACCGAGTCCCTTCTGCGTATGGGTGTCGGTCCTGAAAAAAAAACCGCCGTTCTGTGGCATTGCCTCAGTGGACAGGTTCAATTCTTTCCCACAACTTTCCTACCCTCGCTTACGTCTAGAATTTCGCCTGAGTTGCTTTCCATTTCAGGCCTAAGTGTTGGGGACCAACAGTAATTTATCCAGAAATTGTGGGAATGGCGTCCAGAGCAGTTTGAAGATTAACAGGTATCACATTTGTTTAAAATTCCACCATTGCGATGAGTTAGACTCGGGGGTTTGAACCCCCCTATTATATGTGGCTCTGTTTAAATTCCAGTGAGGGATGGCACAGGTTAGAGTTAGTGTTGACCTTAGTGTCTTAGTGTTAGGAGGGTTAGGGTCAAGGTTTAGACACGGATATAGAGGGACGAGGCCACCTGTAGTGCTAGGGGGAGGGGGGAGTCTAAATTTTTGCGTCCGACCTTGGTGGGATTTCGAAAATGGGCCGTCACATCTTCCCTCTTCATGGATATTTTCTGTTTTATCACAGGGAACTGGTACTCGGCCGGCTGAAACGGAATTCTTTTTCCTCCTTTATTTGTGTCGTACGCCAATGGCTTCATGAAGAAAATGAATTTCTTGTGGTGACTGCTCGGCTCACGAATTGTGAAATGCGCACTTTTCGCACGTGTGCAGATATTTGCCAGAAATTTCGGTGTTTTTCTCGAAGACTGATGATGTCCAGCACTGCCGTTTGTATTTATCTTCTTGTTGCATGTTCGGCCCAATTAAAAAAATGGATTTGAAGTTGTGGGGTAAATGTAGTCCCTATGATTTACTTTATTTATCTACAAGCCATACTTTGCCGAGGACTATGCCTTTTAGTGGTATGATTTATTTTTCTGTCGTCGCTGTGATGAGTGACGTTGGAGTCCAAAACTAATGTTTTTAAGCCTCACAAAGAACGGTCTTATTATTTTAAGAGGTGCCGGGGTGCTCAGAGAGACAGGGACTTGTCTTTTGCAGTTTCTGACTGAAATCTCCTCTCAAGCCCTGTGAAAATATGCGCTGTGTTGTCTGAACAACCGAGTCAGACGATTTACAATGGACATCAATAGTCCATGACTCCTACGCACACGAGATATCTTCGAGGTGCCTAACTAGTTTCTCCTATGCGAAAGCCTATAGTTCATGTGGAAGCCGTATATGCTATATTGAAAAAAGTAATCGTCAGATGTCAGGTGAAAGCTGACCTCCACGGCCGCAAGACGCAACAATAGGAAAGTCGCGTAATGAGGGTACGCTATGTTCCAGAGAGGTTAGTGCGAAGTTTGGGTTAGGCCACGGGAATAGGTAACCTTACGGAAATTTAGCGCAAGGCCGCAGGTTTTAAAGGCGAGAGGTTCCCATTCTCAAAGCACATTCAGACAAAACAGGCCACATAAGCGTCCCAGGCGACCTAGAAGAAGCGTCAGCATTAAAAGCGACTGACTTGGAACCAGTTCGGCCCAGAGGCGGATGAGCCAGCATCAATTTGAAGAGGCTCTCGACTCTTTTAGCCGCCTCCTCATGTTACGGTGGCAAAAGTCGCCGAACTCTCAGCCTCCCCGAGTCATTCCGCCTTGAAATTCCTTGACCATGTGTGCAGGGATGCCGCTGGCCGGGGGTTCGCGCAACCAAAGTGAACAGCGTTGACGCCCGCTAATGCCTCTGCCTGTTACCTCGCTTATTACCTCAAGACCTGCATCGTCTTGTTTAATAAGCCTCTACTATGATAAGGCTTGTAGTCAGTCATTAAAGTCCCCTCATGTGCTGGACTTGAATTTTCCGTCTTACAGTCCTGGGCACGCATACAGCTGGCGGAGGAGACTCGGATGTTTGTGTTGTGACCCTGCCCCCCACGAAATGGCACTGGCGGGCCCGCACCGGTGCCCTGGCCTTGGCGGCTCTGATTCCGAAACATGCTGATCACGGCTTTCGTACTGTCTTCACCAGTTCGGTCTTCAGCCTGCCGGAGCTTCTCGCCCTCCGACCGGATCTTCAGACCGCTGAGAAGTTGCTCTACTTCCATGAGAATCAAATTGTCTACCCACTGCGTCGAGCCTTTGCTGAAAAGGACTATCAGTACGGGTAAGACTTCCTGATCGTCAGTTGTTTGGTGAAGTTCACTGACTTCCCTGACACGCGTACTGTCTGAAAACTTACGCGTATGTTTCCCCAACTTGTGCCGCCTCAATATTCTGTGGAAGCTCATGGATGTCAGATCGGAGACTCATACCAGCCCTTGGTATGAACCTGAAAACGTTTGTCTTGGAGTAATATATATATATATATATATATATATATATTGCTGATAGAAGCGAAGATGCGCGTCCCCGGACATAAATGAGAAGAAGAGACGATCTCGGGAACCATAGTTGTATTGTCCTGACGTTTCAAAATCAAACAAGATTTCATCGTCGGAGGTGAGTTTTGTACCACGCCTCACAGTATTTATAGGTGGTGATGGTCTCCTTTCAACGGGTTTAGCTCTCGTCGGGGGCCGGCGTTCGGGCGCTAGCCGTCATCGCACGTGTTCGCATGGATCGTACTTCTCGTCCTAGGCTGACAATCTTCTTTGCGACCTCGTGACGGCCTGTGTTCTCACCTGCTGGATGAGTGGCAGTGACACTGGCACCTTCTTCAGGTCCGTTTCTGTTACTGCGACCGTCCGTTTTCTCACCTGCCGGACAAGTGGGTGTCGCGACTGTTGTGACGATCGCGCCTTCGCCAGATCCAAGTTGAAGTGCAGCTGCGTTTGTGTCCCCCGTGGATCTTAGGTCTCGTACTCGGCTGGCAATCTTCTTTAAGGCCCCGCGACAGCCTACGTTCTCACCTGCCGGATAAGTGGCAGTGACGCTGGCACCTTCGTCGGGTCCGCTTGTGTTTCTGCGAACGTCCGTTTTCTCACCGGCTGGACAAGTGGGTGTCGCGACTGTTGTGGCGATCGCACCTTCGCCAGATCCAAGTTGAAGTGCAGCTGCGTTTGCGTCCCCCATGGACCCGGCCGTAATTGGATTCCTTTGTCCTCGTAACCCGCGTTTGTTCGCCTGTTCTCTGAGCTGCGTCCGGAGGGCCTGGTAGGCTTCGGGAAGCGCTACACAGCGGTTGATGGAGTTCGTGCTGGTGTGCCAGGCCTCGATTGTTTCCCTGGTCACGCGATCATTTCCTTGGCCCAGGATTTCGGCACTCTGGAAAGCGAATGTGTGTCCAGAGTTTGCGCAGTGTTCTGCCACCAGGGATAACTGGTCCATCCTCCTTACGGCCCTGATGTGTTCTTTAACACGGGTCTGGAGTCGTTTACCGGTCTCCCCAATATAGTTTATCTCGCAGGAGCTGCATTGGATCCGATAAATCACGTTTGTTGTTTCACCGGGTGGCAGCGGGGTCTTGGGTCTCATTACTAGATGCCGGATTGTTGATTCTGGCCGATGGGCAATTCCGATTCCTAGTGGCCTTAGGAGACGGGAGACCGCCTCAGAGACGCCGTCAATGTAAGGAAGGGCTCGCCAAACTTTTGGTCGTTCTGTCACTGGGCTTCGGCTTGGCACAGGCTGCCTGTTACGTTCTATAAAATTTCGAGGATAACCGTTCGCCATGAAGAGGCGCTGAAGGTGGCGTAGTTCCGACCTTTTGTCGTCTGGCTCGCTGCAGTGTGTATCTGCCCTTTTGTATAGTGTGCGTACACAGCTGCGTTTGTGGGACAACGGGTGCTTGCTGTGGTAGCTCAGGATTTGGCGCGTATTGGCGGCCTTCCTATACACCGTTGTTTTCAGGTGTCCATTTGGGTTCCGGTGAACCAGTACGTCTGGGAACGGTAGTTCGTTGTTGCTTTCGGCCTCCATTGTGAATTGAATATCAGGCGAAACCGAATTGAGGACATTGTGAAAGGTTTGAACCATTTCCCGCTTGATGATGACAAAGATATCATCAACATATCGAGCCCAAAATTTTGGCCTGTAGGTCTCGAAGACTTTGGTCTCTACCTTTTGGAGAACTGCTTCTGCTATGAAGCCTGAAAGCGGCGATCCCATCGGCGTCCCCTTGGTCTGTTCGTACACCCTCCCGTCGAAGGTAAAGAACGTCTTCAGGCAGAATTTCAGCAATTGAATGAGATGAGTCCGTTTCACACTTTCTTCCGTCTCGTCGTACTTGCATTGGAGCAGTTCGCTAACCGTTTGGACTGCTAGGCATTGCGGGATCGAAGTGAAGAGTGCGGTGACATCGAATGACACCATGACCTCGTCTTCGCTGAGTCGGATGCCTTTGAGCCGTTCTAGGAACTGAACCGCTGAACAGACGGTCGTGGCTGCGTTCGAGGTGAGAGACCTCAGTTTGCGGAATAGCCATTTTGCCAGATTATATGTAGGTGTACCGCGCAATGAAACGATTGGCCGGAGCGGGAGACCGGGTTTGTGTACCTTCGGTAGGCCATAGAAACGTGCTGGAGCCGCATCTGTCGGCTTAATGGTCAGCCGTACCGATTTGCTTATTGCTTTGTTTGATTGCATGTCGGTAAGCGTCTTCTCCAGTTGCGTCACTAACATCTTTATCGATTCCTCACCACATGGGAGGTACGCCTGTCGGTCCTCCAGTAGAGCGTTGGCCTTCTGAGCGTAATCTGTCTTATCCAGCACTACTGTGGAACGGCCTTTGTCTGCCGGTAGTATTACAATGCTGGTATCATTCCTAAGTGCCTTGAGAGCGCTCTGCTCCGCTTTGGTAATAATGGCACGTGGTTTGTGCGCCATCACCAAGGAGGTAACCTGTTGCCGAATGAGATGCGTTGTCTCGTCCGGTTCCCCGGTTTGTTTGAGGATCGACTCGACCGTGGCCACGAGATTGACCGGATCGGCGTCTGCGGTGTTGAAGCAAGCTTCGTGACTCAGTACTTTCAATTGTGTAGGAGTCAGCTGTTTGGAGGACATATTGTGGACAAGGATTTCGTCTTCTCCCGGAGATGAGTGGCTTATGCTTCGAAGCTTAGTGGCCAGCTCAGCATCCCTGTGTGCTCGCAGCTCTTTAACCCGTTTATCGATGACTTGTTGTAACAGTGTGACGCCATCTTCACCGATGACGTCAGTGCACTTTGCAACCTCTTGGCGTATAACCCCGTTGTATTTGCGCAATCGAAGGTGGCAGTCTTGGAGGAGTGCCCGAATCATTCGTCTGCCATGTTGAGTCACCCACCGTTTTGCCAGACTTGTGTTCACCGGTGGCCTGTAAGACAGACTCTTGGGAAGCACATGGTTGTCAAGGCATCTGTGGAGA